CCATCCAATTTAATAAGATTTATTAAGAAAAAAAATACAATTGAACTGTTATACAAGAATTCCCAAGGACTGGTAGTACAAATCATGAGTTTCTAAGACTTAGAGTTTACAAAGTTGGTATGAAATAATACATCATCTGTTCGAAATGTACATAAACAGATTTCTAATAATCTAAGGCTACCATGAACAAGAGGCAGCTACCACCGAACGCAAGTACATCTTCAAATTCAGCTCCCATAGAACACAACAACATCAACAGCCAACATCTGCACGCAAGGTGCAGAAGTGTAGTATGAGTACAACCGACCACATGTACTCAATAAGTAACAAACCTAACCTTAGGTTGAAAGTAGTGACAAGTTAGGACAAAGGTCGAGGTCCAACACCAATAGCCAACAACTATTCATAACAACATAATGAAAGTAATAAAAGTAATAACTCAGAGATGAAATACTCAGCTTGTTCACAGTTCCAGAAGAAAATAGGCCTGCTTTTCAAGTATATCGGTGAAAACCAAATCTTTTACCGAAAACGCCAAAAATGTGAGTAAGTTTGAAAACTGTGATTTTTCCCAAAGGCTTTCAACAAGTAAATGTTTCATATACAAAGGCATGAGGAAAATACATCTATATGCGTACATGTCAATGTATGCATGCCAACTGAAATACCATGCAGTGATAAAACCATATGCATACTCTCGGTGCATCAATGCACTCAGTCCTCCCAATCCCTCAGTCCCCATAGCCACTCAGTCTTCACAGTCACTCAGCACTCAAACTCGGCACTCGCACTCGGTAGGTACCTGCACTCACTGAGGGTATGTACAGACTCCGAAGGGGATCCTTCAGCCCAAGCGCTATAACAAGCCAACCATGGTATAAATCAGTAAAGCATGTTGTGGCGTGTAGCCCGCTCCCATCATAAATCAATAAAATATGATGCGGCGTGCATCCCGTTCCCATAAACATCCTCACCATCAGGCCCTCGGCCTCACTCAGTCATCAATCTCTCCAGTCTCTCGGGCTCTCAATGTCATGAAAAAGCAGCCCAAAAATAATGATGTGATGTATCAATAAATGGTAATAGAGACTGAGATATGATATGCATATGAATGCGTATGACTGAGTATGTAAATGCAAATGACCTCGGTGGGTCTCAACAAAATAAACATGTAGCCTAGATATGTTTTCTAACATGGATCACAGCTCAATAGCTCAAGTACTTAGAAATTTCATGGTTACAGGTGAGGTTATGTAACTTCACAATACCACATAAAATAGTGGAGTCACAATTCACATTGTGTACGCCCACACGGCTGTCACCTGGCATGTGTGTCACCTCAACACCAAACGCATAACACGTAATTCGGGGTTTCATACCCTCACTTACCTTGAACAAGCCGATTCCAATATCGAGCAAGCCAAACGATGCTCCAAACTATCATCCCACACGTACCGACCTTCGAATGGCTCGAAACTAGCCAAAAGCAACTCAAATACATCAAACAATGCCAAAGGAAACAAACATAATCGATAAAGGTTGAATCTTTAATCAACGCTCAAAAATCATCCCAAAAGTCCAACTTGGGCCTGCACCTCAGAACCCGACAAAACTCATAAAATCCGACAATCCATTTAATTACGAGTCCAACCATACTAGTTTCACTCAAATCTGACCTCGAATCGATGTTCAAAACCCAAGAATTCGCTCTATGAAACTTTAGTCACCCCTCCCCCCCAATTTCTCTTTTGAAATCATCAACCAAATGACAAAACTGAATATAGATTCATGAAATATAACCAAAAATGACTAGAGAACACTTACCCCATTTCATATAGTGAAAATCGCTTCAAAAATCATCTCAATCCGAGCTCCATAGCTCTAAATATGCAAAAATATTCGAAACCTTCGAAATAGAGTACTATATACACTGTTTCAGAGGTACCCTTCGCGATCGCGGTCACAAACCCTGCGATCGCGATTACAAAATTTTGCAGGATAATTTTTACCTTATGTGATCACGGCCATCTCCCCGCGATCGCGAAGAACAAACTTCCATTTAACCCTTCCCAACTCTTCTCAGACAGCCTATAGTTTATCAACCATAATGTTTTGTACAAAACTCCAAATGATAAACGATTTAATTTTCTGAAAACTAGACACAAAGGGCTACAACTTTTATTTTTAGATCATCTCTAGATTCCTTATAGATTACAAGATATAAGCTTCCAAAGTCGAGTGAGTGCATCAGAGATTTTCTTCTATCGATCGCGAGAAAACTTCTGCGATTGCGATTCACAACTCTATTTTCCTATTTTTCTCTTCGCTAACGCGACCAAATCCATGCGATCGCTATGTACACCCATGTAGCCAAAAACCATCAACTAAAAAATGGCCTAGAAATGGTCCGAAACCATCCCCCAAACTCATCCGAGCCCCTCGGAACCCTGTCCGAACATACCAACAAGTCCCAAAACATAACACAAACCTATTCGAGGCCTCAAATCACACATAACAACATCAAAATCATGAATCGCACCTCGATTCGAACTTGATGAACTTTGAACTTTTAATTTTCAAAACTCACGATGAAACGTATCAAATCAACCCGGAATGAACTCAAAATTTGCACACAAGTTTCAAATGACATATCGAACCTATTCCGACCCCCGGAACAATAATCCAAACCCGATAACATCGAAGTCAACTCTCGGTCAAACTTATAAACATTCCTAACCTTTAAATTTCTAACTTTCGTCAATTTGTACTGAACCTTCTAGAAACATGCAAATGCAAATCCGGACATACGCCCGAGTCCAAAATCACTATCCGGACCTAACGAAACCATCAAAACTCCAATCCGAGGTCAAATACTAAAAAATCAAACTTGGTCAACTCTTCCAACTTAAAGCTTAAACCATAAAATTCATTCTTCCAAATCGATTCTGAATAACCTGGATGCCAAAACTGACGATTTACATAAGTTACAATACATCATACTGACCTAATCATGACCGTAAACTACCGAGCGAAGTGCAAATGTTCAAAATGATTGGTCGGTTCGTTACAATTCACCTTTGATATTTCCAGCATTCATGGGATTTAATCCCAATTTTAGTTGATCTATTAATTGATAAGAACAAGCAACATAAGAGAATTCGTAAAGAACTTTCTAGTTCTTTAATATTTACGCATGTGAATTCTCTTTTATTTTTGCACAACATACTTAAATTTAATGGTTAAACTAGTTATGCCAATTGGATAAATTATCAATATTTATAAACTTCAGGTTTACACCATGACATGTGCAGTCATCAATAAACTCCAAGTTTATTATGATATAGATTTTTATATCAATAAACTTCTACTTTCTCCTTCAGGGTAGGGGTAAAGTTTTCGTATACACTACCCTTTTCAGACCCCATTAGTGAGATTTTACTGGGTTATTGTTGTTGTTGTTGTTGTTGTTTGTTGTTGTTTATTGTTTCATACTTTTATTTGTGTAGTACAGATTGGAGAATAAAGCACGTAGCTTTTCACATACATATTACCCCGCTACAAGTTATAATAGAAGATATTAAATATTTTCTTTATTTATAATCTCAATATAACCAACCGCTTTCGCGAATACTTTAGAAACTCAATAAGTTTCTTTGATGCTTACTACGACGCAATACCTTATTGATAATCAATTTTATTTCTCCAAAATAGTATAGTTTGCTCTTCTAGAGCTTTCGATTAATTTTGTACTACTACATATTCATCAACATCCATATGGTGAATATCTCTTTCAAGGAGAAAGTTATACCATTATGGTCATGGTCAAAATCATTATAGGCAAGATATGTTGCTTCTATTACTTTTGCCCTGTAATAATCACATTGCCATACTATTTTGGCATATAATAGGTACGTGACCAATGATTATTCATGTCATCATAATGCCATTATTTTTTAATTTTATCTCAAACCTCCTTCTAGAGGTGAGTATGGTATATTCACTACCACTAGTACGTTTATATTATTTCAAGAATGAATATGTATTCATAAATCATATGTTGTCACATTCACACCATGAATGGACCATAATCATCTATATGTTCTTTACAAAATCTCATGTCAAATTGATGACAAACATTACTTTCACATAGTAAAGAATTATTTTGAGAATCCTTATTATTCTCATTACCACAATGATGACGATTATAATTTCGTCTATTGACACGTCCACATCCATTGATACCTTCACGGTAATAATTTTATCATCTTTTAAACTTATTACATATTGCTACCATATTCACTTAAGGGAACGACAATGAAGCAAATTCAATGGGACGGGTTTCTACTTCTTGTGCTCACGATCATACATGACTTTGATCATGGCAAGACAAAAATTTTACCACTTCAGGTGTTTATAATTTCTTACAAACTCTGTTAGAGTTATATCAAAATTTGTTGTCTTTACTTGTATTTAAAATTAAATCATATAATTTCAAAAATTTAAAAGAGAAAAATAAGGTAAAATACTTACCTTAAATTTAGAATTTATTCATGAAGGAAGTTAATGGAACAATTGACAATCATTATGTTTAATATTATATACAAATTGAGCATCATGAGCATCATGCAAGTATCTCAAAGCCTGGCGACCAAAGAAGATGCCTCTACTCAGTTTGTTAGAGTCTCGTGCTGATAACGTGTTATAAAACAATAAAAGAAGAAGAGTATTGCAGAGAAGAGAAAAATAGAGAGAGAATTCTTATTGATTTTGGATGAATTACAATAGAATAACCACTAAGTAACAAATTCTAAGATATCTAAAATATAGACATTCACCTTAAATATAATTCTATTTATAACAAAAATAATAAACTAAAATTAATTAAACTGTTTAAAATTGATTAAAGCCTTTTGAGTTATAGAGGAGATCAAAGAAAATAAATTCTCTTGATTTCCTTTCCAAGAATAGAGTAAAGGAGATGTTAAAAGAAGGAAATAAAAAAGTAAACCAAACCAGATTAAGAACAAAGGCCCAAAAACTAAAGAGAAGCAATCCAACCAAGCAAAAAGTCTAGTCAATCTAAAACCCTAGCCGGAAATGGGCGATTCTTCCACCGCCGGCAACGGCGACTATCTGCCGCCGACAACTCCCAAACTTCCGATACCGGGAAAACGGAACATCCTCATCACAAGCGCTTTGCCATACGTCAACAACGTTCCTCACCTCGGAAACATCATCGGAAGTAATTAATCTCAGCAATTCAATCTTTAATTACCTCTCTTTGCTCTGTTTTTGATGTCTCATTTTATATTCAAATTATGTTCTTTTTTTGTTTATTGTAGGTGTGTTGAGTGCGGACGTGTTCGCGAGATACTGTAGGCTTCGGGATTACAATGCAGTATACATGTGTGGTACTGATGAATATGGCACGGCTACTGAGACTAAAGCTTTGGAAGAAAATTCTACTCCCAAGCAAATTTGTGACAAGTAATGCACCTTTCTTTTATATTAAATTCATCAATTTTTTCTTAGAATGTGCACTAAATAAATCAGTTAAGTGCATCGCAATCACAAACTAGTTGGGACTTGGGATTGGCTATAGGAGACCTTTATATACAATTCACTTTAATGGGGTCTATTTATTTCATTACTAAATCATTAATATATTCATACATATTTGATACTCCCTCCATACCATTTTATGTGATTCACTTTGATTGGACACTTAGTTTAAAGAAAGAAAGACTTTTAAAACTTGTAGTCTGAAACAAATCATAGATATTTCTGTGGCTATAAATCATCTTATTATGGTTAAAATCGAAAGCTTAAAGTTAAATTATTTCTAAATATAAAAAAAATATCATTCTTTATTGGAGACGAAAATGGAAAATGCAGCACATAAATTGGAATAAGAGGGAGTATTAAAGATGCATTTTTTTGTTTGTTTGGTAGATAAGATACAAATTTAAGTTTCTTATTTGGAATTTGTGATAGTTTTCTTATGCTAAAATTTTAATTTTTCATTCTTAATAATTGATATACTCATCCATTACATTTTCTTAACCGTTAGTATAGTTGTTTGCCAGCTATAAATTGTTTGACACCTCCTTTTAAAAGACAGAGCCATGCGTCTACACTGTGTTGCTGCTTAAGTGAGGCTAAGTGTCCATGTTGTGCTACACTAGAGTTTAGAGTTTAAACACATCTCCCGCGTGCCTTTAACAACACTCGAATCATGTGTCGTGTTGGAACATATAAGAGAGGTCCAAGAAAGCAGTTAAAAACTCAAAACTAGCATCATGGATTCAAGTCATTCTTGATATCTCTTTTCGTAGAATAAAACTTTTGACATATCTTGGACTTGAACTCTATCACTGGAGCATAATTATACTCTTGGGTAATAGCAGGTGAGATCAATCATCAATGTCGTAACTTGGAGAAGTGAAGAATAGACAATATAGACATTCCAGAGCCGTGAGAGACTTTTCAAAGTTCATACATAATTATTAGATCCTCCTTTACATGGAGGAAGTCACACACTTTAAAGTGGACAACTAAAGGACAAGATTAGTTCTCAACTAATGGGATGATGATTTCTGGTTTATCAGGCAAATCTCCCTCCCTAGGGCGGTGTCAAACCATAACCCCTATTCTAAGTTGCGGATAGTGGTATAAGAAATCACCATATTCTCAAGAACTGAAGGTCTTTGAGAATGCTTAAGTGGTGGTGGGACTCATTTGTAGTCATGGGAAGGCATGATTATATCTTAGCATAGAAGTAAAGTTGTTGAGATAGAATTTAAAAAAGTGGGATTTGAACACTTGAAGGTGCTTCGAGAAGAAGAAGGATCTAATTTTGGAGAATTTTGCAGTGGGCAGCCAATGCAAGAGGAAAGGTCTCTATCTCTGACTAATTAAGGTTGGATATTGTCACAATCCAATCTGGGCCTTGACCGACGATCAGATGGTAGGGCACCAAAGCAAGCACTGGAATTCTACAGAAATGTAGAAATATAGACAGAGTTTTCTCTATTTCTAGGACTATCCATATTTTCTTATCTCGTCTAAGTTACATACCACAAGTCCGCAACAACACTTATGAAAAGTAATACTTCTCTCAATTTGTTTGACAAGATTGACTAGATGCATAGTTGAAAAAGTAGGACCTTTTGACATAAACTTATGCATATCATTATAAAAGTGGGAATCCCAAAACTAAAAAGTTAAAAGACCTAAATACTCTTCTAAATAATTATTTATTAGAAAGAAGAAACTAATCTTATTTGAAGTGTCTTTTTTAAAAGATTGTGTCCATCTGTTTTTGAAGTTTGGTCTTACCGTTGGATGTTTTTGAAAGTGTCATCTATATGAAGGCAATCATGACAAGATCTTAGCCATTCTTCCTATTGATTCTACCAATTTCTTATTCGTTTTTTTACCAACGTTGAATGTATATAGTATATTGTTACTCCTCTCTCTTTTATATTCTACTCCATCTTCCAAAAGTTTCTTATTCTATTAGGTTGAGTTTTGGTGTTAGAAAAAATCAACTTTGATTTCTTGAGTAGGCATTGTATCTCAGGAATAGAATTTCATTAAACCATTAGTGGTTATTATAACGGTGACTGAAGTGGAATATAATACTACTAAAGAAACGTCACTTTCTCCTCAAAATTATACTTTGATTGTTCATCTTTGTAGGTTCAAACGATATCCAATCATTTTGATCTCGACAAACAAGTCGACGACCCACATTGATCATTCATAAAAACTTATGTTATTCTTTCTTGTATGATTATTTACTCGAACATTGCTTTAATAATGTAGATATTAATTTAAAAAGTGTACTACAAGACTCGGGATATACATGTAAAGCACGTGCCGAGAAACTAGTATGTATAAACTACCAAATTCCTTCCGCTATGGTTCAAATGAATCATACCTTATCACAAAAACAAAGAGAGAAAAAAACTAAGGTCTACATAACTCATGCCAACCTCTAGAAAACATCTCATTAAGGGCAAAGTGAGACGTTAAATATTACTTCCTTCACCCCAAATTTATGTGATGTAGTTTAAATTTGAAAGTCAAACTCCTTAATGTTGACTTCAAATTCAGACATAGAATATTTAACTTTTCTGAAATAAAATTTATATATTTGAAAACTACAAAAAAGTACTACAAGTCACAATAATTAACAATTCAAAATATTTAAAAGGCATATAAAAGAATCGCGGTCAAAGAAAAACGTGTTTAACTCTTGAAATCCTAATTGCATCACATAAATTGGGACATAGGAGTAGGAGTTTCTAAACACAAAAAGGTGTCAATTTTTTTTGGGACGTACAAACAAAGTGATGGTGCCAAACAAATTGGGATAAAGGGAGTAGTATCCATTACTAACCAATCATATGTAACACAAAAAGGTGTCAATTTTTTTTGGGACGTACAAACAAAGTGATGGTGCCAAACAAATTGGGATAAAGGGGGTAATATCCATTACTAACCAAACATATGTAACACAAAATTACTGACGTCATCACAAGTTCACAACCTTGAACTACAAGAAAATCTAAATAAACTTATAAATATCACGTCAACTGAAATACTCGTGATACTGATTAATGAAGCAACACTGTGAGTTTTAAATGAATGGCAATGACAAATGATAAAGACTCCATGTACATGAACAAAATGCGGGCTCACCATTGCTGTCTCTTTCAATAGCTCTTACTAATAAGGTCCTCATCAGCTTGGGCAGTTGTCTCTGTGAAACAAGAGCTAAAGAGTTCGCTGTCTCAAAATGATAGTAGTAATAGACTAATAGTAATAACAATGATAATAATAATAATTATTATTATTATTTTTGCATGCTTCTCCCTAAGTCCTTGCAAAATTGATCCTTTCACCTTTTTTTTTTTGGTATAGACGGTTACAAATTGTTGGGACTTTATTTTTCAGTATTGGAGCTAAGCATGCATTGCTTTGTTCACAAGTCCTTTCTTCGTTTTCTTGGTTTTGCAGATACCATGCAATTCATAGAGAAGTTTATAAATGGTTTGATATAAGCTTCGATCAATTTGGACGCACGTCTACTCCACAACAGACGGAAGTTTGTCAGGCGATCTTTAACAAGCTTTGGGAGAATAATTGGCTCTCTGAGAACACTATGCAGCAGGTATATAATTCTTAATAAGTATATCTTCTGGTAGATGCTTGGTTCTGTGCTGCTATTGCCAGGCCTTAAGCTCTTTGGCTTCAAATATCTCATAGATTGAAGTAGCCCGAAACTCAGTTGATGCGTCAAATTTGACATATTTATTACTGAAGCTAAGTTTATTTCACAGCCGTACTGTGACACATGCAAAAAGTTTTTGGCGGACCGGCTTGTAGAGGGTAACTGCCCAACACCAGGTTGCAACTATGATTCTGCACGTGGAGATCAATGTGAGAAGTGTGGGAAACTCTTAAATCCCACTGAACTGAAGGATCCAAGATGCAAGGTTTTATTCTCCTCTTTTTCCAGATGCGTATTTCTTAATATAGTATAGTTAAAGTACTTCTTGTCATCTGGTTATTGAAGAAAGTACTTCTCATCATCTAGTTTCTTTGAAAAAATGAGCATTTTTTGGCTAGAAACTTGACTTATTTTTGTCCCTTCGGGCACATCCGATGGAATTTGAATGAGACTTGACTTAAACAACCTTTTATTTGGAAATTTTAAAATACCAAGAACTTCAAGGACATAAAGCATGCCGGATTAACAATACAAGAATGTGGTAATGATTTTACTTACTACTGAAGTCTTAGCTTGCTTACTCTACAGGTCTGTCGTAACACCCCTTGCATCCGAGATACAGACCATTTGTTCCTTGAGCTCCCTTTGCTAAAGGATAAATTAGAAACTTACGTCAACAACATGTCAGTGGCTGGAGGATGGAGTCAGAATGCTGTCCACACAACAAATGCCTGGCTTAGAGAAGGACTAAAGCAAAGGTGTATAACTAGAGATTTGAAATGGGGGGTTCCAGTTCCACATGAAAAATACAAGGAGAAGGTTGATTGAGTTCTTTCTGAATATATAACACTTGGTTGTAACTTGTACCTTTACTGATAATTACTCCACTTGCTGTTATCAATTCATGTGTTGGTATAAGTCGAAGCAGCAATTTTTTTTTTTCTGTTCAATTCCATTTAGATTTTCTTAACAACATTATTTATTGATCTATTGGTAATTAGGTTTTCTACGTGTGGTTCGACGCTCCTATTGGATATGTATCAATAACATCATGCTATACAACAGAGTGGGAGAAGTGGTGGAAGAATCCAGAGAATGTGGAGCTCTATCAGTTTATGGGCAAAGATAATGTGCCTTTTCACACTGTAAGTTCTTGAAAATCCATAAAAGTCTTGATCAAAAAGATAAACTCCATAAAAGTATCATCATCTCTTTGGTGGTAAAAACGAGGTTGATACGACAAAGTCAGGTTACTGTACTTGGAATGAAGGATAATGGAGACAAATTGAATATACTGAGATAGTGGTTTCCTTGATAATTGTTTACTACTCTTGTAATAGACTTGGGGCTATTTTTCGTAATGGCTTGGGATTTACATATTTAATTCCCTCTTTAGTAGAGGGTGCGAAAGTTTACATAGGAATATAGGATACAGAAAAAAGAAGAAAGAAGAAAGAAGAAAGAAATTGACCACATATGAGAACTTTGTTTTGAATCTTTTTCCTTCTATTTTTGTTTAATCTTAATCGGTCAAGAGCTTCTGCAGGAAGATTCAATCATCAGTTCTTCTATAATTAGAAATAATAAAATTGAAGCAGTGTTATTAATATAGGATATTTGTTAACATATAAGTCATTCTTCCGTTTTGTCAAGGTTCCAAATCTGATATTTAAACAGACTAGGGTAGAGATCATAATGGATAAAGAGAACTCATATAGCTGAGCCCAACTAATCTGAGATTGAACTACAGTTGAATGATTGACTTGGAGAAATATGCTTAGGGAGTTCCAATGCCATGAATTTTCCGGCTCCGTTGCTATGTAGGATAAGCTTAACCGTAGTGATATTATTTCTGTTAGTGGCTATTACATGTAAGAAAGTAAATTTTGTATTTTCCAGGTGATTTTCCCATCTACGCTACTTGGAACTGGTGAAAACTGGACTCTTATGAAGACTATCAGTGTAACAGAATACTTGAACTATGAAGCAGGTTAGTTGGAAATAAGGCCGTGGAAATTGTCCATATGTTCTTGCTGCTTGGAACTTCATATACTGGAAACACCAGTTCATACTGCAGAGTTAGTGCTTTTCTCATTTGATTTTTTGTTCGTGTCTCTTTGTTGTCATAATCAGGCAAGTTCTCGAAGAGTAAGGGCATAGGAGTATTCGGTAATGATGCAAAAGATACAAACATTCCTGTAGAAGTATGGAGATATTACTTGCTGACAAACAGGCCAGAGGTGGGTTCTTGGTGGTTGTAACTTCTGTTGCCTGATAATTCCCTATTCTATAATGCTCTTTTATACAGGCATGATTACTAATGGATTTCAGTTATCTAGGTGTCGGACACTTTGTTTAGCTGGGCAGATTTACAAGCAAAGTTAAACAGCGAGTTGCTAAGCAACTTAGGCAATTTCGTCAATAGAGTCCTAAGTTTCATTGCAAAAGATCTGGGTATGTCAGCTAAATGTGTTGTATGATATATTTACATAGTCTCCCCCTCTTGATATGCTTTTGCTCTTGTCAGCTAGTTTCGTGTCTGTTTTATCTTAATTCTTGAAACATTTTGACTATACCAAGCTTTGGCAGCTTATTTTGCGTGTGTTCATTTTCCTACAGTAAGTCTGGTTTATGTATCAGATGACATGGTTTATTATGCTGTTTCGTGCTTTTGTGTTACTGGTATTGTCTACTTGACTGCTTGTGGTTGATTTGATGAAATTATTGTTTCTTCTTCCTGTGAATCACAACAAAAAATCTACTTGCCACCTTGGATTGTAATGCTGGTATATCATCGAGAAGAGAAAACAGAGAGGAAATATTTCTTGTTCTTCCCTAGAAAGATAAAGAAAGATAAAAGGGGGGAAATTTCTTGGCTGAAAGTTGCTTCTGATTTGGATAACTGCCTTGATTCCTTAATGTTTGCTTTAAAAGTATCTTGCTACTGGTCACTGATCGAAAAAAAATCTTGTTACCGGTATATTCATAAAGAGAAAAAGGGAAGATTCTTATTTCTGCTAGAAAGATAAAATCGGACAACTTCTTGACTGAAATTTGTTGTTTGTTCTGGTTTTGGAGTGTTAACTGGAAATAATCTAGTCCGTTTTCTTACAGAAATCTAACAGATATTTATGAAAATGTGCTCATACAGTTTCAGGTTATGGTTCCATAATTCCCAATCCTGAAGGAGCTGAATCACACCCTTTAACTAAGGCCTTGGGTGAAAAAGTTGGAAATTATGTGGAGCAATATATAGAAGCTATGGAGAAGGTAACTACACTGCTTTAACGGGGTCTTTCCAGTTCTAATGGAATAGAACTCATTTCAATTTTTTTCCTTACATGTGTTTTGTATGACTTTACCATCTAAAAAATAGGGCAATATGAAAGAAAAAGGTTCATATAGATGATACTAATTCTTTTGGATTGAGGCTTAGTCATGTCAGTACATTCCTCTAGGTTGAATGTTTGTTAGGAGTCTTCTAATCTGCGCCCAAAGGTGTAGCCTAGTGGTCAATGAAGGGAAAGGAGAACCATGAGATCTCTGGTTCAAATCCCAGGAGAGACAACAAAACTAGGTGATTCCTTTCCATCTGCCTAAGCTTGGGCGAGCAGAGTTACCTGGTGTCTGTGCTGGTTAGAGGTAGTAGGTACCTGGTGGAACAATCGAGGTGCGCAAGCTGGCCGGACACCACTGTCATTAATAAAAGTAGTCTCTCGTTAAAGATTTGTATACCCAATAGTGTCAAGAGAACCAAAATTATTGGGCATTGGATTGGGATAGGTCTAAACGTAGTGACATGGATATTGAGGATTCATATAGCTGGCCAGTCACCAGCTTGAGGTTGAGACTTAGTAGTAGTAGTTGTATCTTACATGTGTTTTATATCTCGATTGGGTTCTTCTTTCCTTTCTATGTTCTGAATAACCCTTATACACTGCAATTCTTTTAGGTTAAATTGAAGCAAGGCTTGAAGATTGCTATGTCTATTTCTGGAGAAGGAAACGGTTATTTGCAAGTAAGCCTGTCAAATACTTCCCAACTGTCTGTTT